TCACTGGCATCTCCTGGTTCCGGTGCCGGGGGACAGCTGTACTTTGTAAACGGCGATCAAATGATAATCTCTCTTGGGTTTAGGGTCTAGGGGTTTAGGGTTTAGGGTTTTAGGGTTTAGTTTAGGGGTTTAGGGTTTAGGGGTTCAGGGTTTTAGGGTTTAAGGGTTTAGGGTTCAGGGTTTAGGGTTGTGAAAAAAAGGCGAGTCCAACGAACGATGGCGCGGCTTTCGACGTTGCCGAGTTTGCGCTAGGACCCAGGCTCGTCCAGCGGGTGCACCAGGGAATCGTAGATCCTGCACAGGCGACAGGTGGGCTGGGAATGCAGGAAAGCAGCCGGTTTCGTCCAGCAGAAGAGCGCCATGTCCCACTGGAGATGGAAGCCAAGGCCGCCCCACCTCCCAGACGAACCCGGACAGTTCTTGCGCCAACAACAAAATGGCTCCTTGTATTTAGCCAACCCTAAACCCTATACCCTAAACCCTAAACCCTCACCCTAAAACCCTAAACCCTTCACCCTAAAACCCTAAACCCTAAACCCCTAAACCCTAAACCTCCTTGTGTTTAGCCCTCCTGGGGCAGCCACTGGAGGAACCCGTCGCCATCCTCCAAGTCCTCGGCGATCGCCTGCGCCCGAGCTACCCGAGGGCACGAGCCGGAGACGAGGCCATCCCAGGGAGGCATCCGAGGGCCGTGCCAGGCGGCCCTGCCGCCTCCCAAACAGATTGGGTTTAGGGTTTAGGGTTTAGGGTTTAGGGTTTAGGGTGGGTTTGCTTAAAGGATCATGGGACTTAGTAAGTAGGGTTATAACTAAGGTAACTAGAATTATAACCCCAATTTTGGGGGACTTAGAACCCCTAAACCCTAAACCCCAAACCCTAAACCTAAACCACTAAGTCCCATGATCCTCCAAGTATTCCCCGGCTCGCGGCTCCCACAGTTCAACTCGCCTGCAAAGGGTCGTCAGCTCTGCCAGAAGAGCCGCGCCACTTGGATCATTGTCGCCTTTCCACCCGGAGACTCCAATATTCCTTAATTAAGGAATATTCCTTAAGTTATAGCAGGATCCTTAATATGATTTAAGGTATATTCCTTAATTAAGGACCATTGTTGCCTTTCCATTCTCCACTGCAAGGCTGCAAAGGAAGGCTTTGCAAGGCACAGCCCACGGTCTCGCCTCCTGGCAGCTTGCGGATGGACTTTGTGGAATCCACTCGAAGCCCATCCACGCCGACACCTGAAAGTGCAAGCCCTCAAGCACCAAGACTTACCAAGTACGAGAACAGGCTTGACATGGCTTGAGGTTTCGTGGTTTGCAGTATAACGCTACGTCGCGGCCTTCGAAACACTTTGTCAAGCACCAGTTAATTATTGTCCAGCTGATCGTCGTATCATCCTTTAGGACACTCAACAACTCAGAGACTCCAATATCCCTTAATTAAGGAATATACCTTAAATCATATTAAGGATCCTACTATAATTTAAGGAATATTCCTTAGTTAAGGAATATTGGAGTCTCTGGGCATTGCGAAGCATGCAAGCGCGCAGTATCCAGGTGGGCCTCTGTACACACATTCTGTCCTCGTGCAGAGCATTGATCTTGGGTGGCCATAGAATCCACAGACCGGCCAAAATACAAAACCACAGCCAACATACTAAACATTACTAAACTGCCGTAGAAACTGGATTTTCGCGTAACCTCGAGTGCACCAGCATGAGCTCAGCCCTCAACGCAGAAGGAGTGTCTCTGCCGCAGCAAGGATGCATCGATTCACCTGTCAGGCAAGGAGCGGTTCAGCTTTGAGTTTGCAGACTGCACAATTAACCCCTAAACCCTAAACCACCCATCTGCAGCTCCCGGTTCATGGTCCCCAAATTTTCTGCTCTGAGCAATGCCGCATCGCTCATGCCTTCATGGCAGAATCTGTGCTTTCTGCCTCTAATCGCCTCTTCCTGGGATGCAGCCTGCTCACTGGCAGCACATCACCCGTCTACCCTGTGTCCTCCAGCCAGGCATATTCGAATGTGAAGTCATCCCTGGTCTTCACTTGCAGAGACTCGACGTCGAAGAAGTAGAAGGATCCACGCTCAAATCGTGGTGTCACGATCCGTGGGATCTCCTGCCGCTGGAACCAAGCTTCATACTTGCAGTGGTAGCGCCAGGTGTTCCTCTTCAATTCCTCTGATGCTAGGTACTGCCGATAGGTATTGGGCTGGTAATAGAAAATGCTGAAGAGCATTTGGATCTGGGCTTTCGCAGTGGCTTTCTCAAAGAAGCGTGGATCCTCGCACCACCAGGGTACCTCCGTCGGATACGCGGGCTGGCCGCTTGCATCCACATGCTCACAGGGCCTTCGCGGCTTGTAGCGCATGCACTGCATAGGTGAGAGCCAATCCCCACTCTGGATGATGTGCTTTCTGGAGCACTCCAGGAGTCTGTGGCGGTCGATCAATTCAGTCGACAGCCCCTCTGCGCCCGGCGTCTCGGATGCACTGGGAGCAATCGGCACGACAAGCGCTGGAGCCGTTGCGACCAGGTCTGCGATTTCAAAGGACAAGGCTGCTGAGAACCTCGGCGGCGTTTGAGGCGGTGGCGGGGGAACCCTAGCGGGCGGTTGCGGAGGAAGCGCCGGAGCCACGTGAGCCACTCTGGGAGGCTGGCTCGGTGGTTTGCTGGGTGGTTGCAGGCGCGTCTGCTTGCTGACTTTGCCAACCGACTGCCCAAGAAGGGGAGGTGCCACTGTGGGAGGCCGGCTTGGTGGTCTGCTGGTTGGCTGCAAGCTCGTCTGGCCAATGTCCCTATGCAGCCTCCTTTGCTGCGCCATGCACGCTACCACGATGGTGGCAGGTGAAGCCTCACTAATGCCTATAGGGGCCTAGTGACTGGTCACTAGGGCTTGGTGTGAGATGGGGCTTCAGATGCGACATCCAAGCACAGCCCCGGCAACCACATGTCACTGGTGACGACAAACTCGATCAAAACATCATGGGAGGGATCTATAGGGGTGTATTTTGGAGCTCCTTATTTTTGTAAACTGTAGCATCTTATAGTACATTATGGCATTTGCAACCCTTCGTTCTTCTGGCCTCTGGCTTGGAGAAGTCGGGTCGAGGCCCCCAGATGGTCTCCTGGCGCTCAAGTCCATCGAGAAGACACGCCTTGTTCAGCTTCGCCTCCGGGAGGAAGAGATGCGGTCCATAGAGGAACTGAGCACCTTGCCGGCTTTCCCAGAGTTCATGGCATGCCTCTTTGTCTGTCTGGTGCCTAGTCGGGAATGGGGGAATGGATCCCTATGATAGTCCCTTAAGGTCCCTTATAGTAGTCCCTATAACCCATCCCTCCATTCCCTGCTAAGCACCAGACAGCTGTCTTTTCTGAGGGTCTGGCCCCACATCATGTGGTTGAAAACAAAGTCCACAATAACGGCAAGGTCCAGCCTCGAAAGAACAGGAGTTCGGTCTCTGTAACTCGGGCCACATTGACCTCCCAGAGAGCCCAATACCCCTTGATTAAGGAATATACCTTAAACCATAATATTAGGGCCCCTATAACTTAAGGTATGTTCCTTAACTAAGGTATTGGGCTCTCTGACCTTCCAGGGCCTTTGCATGTGGGCCTGCTGAACGAAGTGTGCTAGGTCCTGCAGACCGCCGTAGGAGGCATCGACCTGGAGCTGCGAAGCACTAAGAGCAGCCACCCGGGGAGCTTAAAGTTTAGGGTTTAGGGTTGAGGGTTTAGCTCTCGACAGGCTGTGACCTCTATTTTCCTGGCCCAACGACTTTGTCCTGAACGACACGCACTTGTACAATGTTCTGGTGCGGCGCCTGACAACAACATGGGTTTTTCAGGGCTGACTCCCTTCGGCAACACGAAGAGACCCGCGGTCTGCTTCGGAACGACCGAATGCTTGAAGTGCTGCTCTGGACGACACAGGCAGGCTGCCAAAGGCGTTTACGGTCACAGCCCCAGCTGAGCTCTTAACTGCGGCAAAGGAAATCACGTCATAGCCTGCACGACTTGACTTGTCAGAGCTTAGCTTCTGTCTGCTACGCTACGATAATATCTAAGAGCGGGACCCCACCGATCCAACTCTCCGCTGGTCAGGCGCCGCCTCAGCCCAGTTGAACAGCTCGGGAGAAGCGGGAGGACAAGTTGAGGCTTGTTAATCGCGGGTAACAGTGTACCGACGAAGACATGATCATGATGAGTAATTTTGGCGGCGATGCCACCAAGGAGAATGCAAAACCACCGCCGCGCATGCTCCAAATATCTCCAAGGCCCAGGCACGTCCTGCTGCACTGGCCTGGGCAAGTGCAGACGAACGGAGACTCGGCTTTCAGGAGATTTCAGGAGGAATTGGCCTACGAAATCTGTTGTTCAAAGGCGACTAAGGCTGGCACATGAGCGAAATGGCGGTGACGCCTGGGAGGAAAGGCATGGAAGGGCCACAGTATGCTACCGGGGCCGGCTCCGCCACAAGAGGACTCTTGGGGGTTTCCGAAAATAGGGGACCCTAATATAGTACCCTAAATAATAGGATCCTTATTATAAGGACCCCAAAATAAGGTATCCCAAATTTCGGAAAGTCCCTCTTGGCAACCGGCCGAGGTCGCGGAGATGCGGCAACTTAGCAGCCGCCGCCACCAGCGTGCCCTCGCCTCGGCAACAGAATTAAACGCTAGCCGGAAATCTGTAGCGTCCCAGGTCGGCCTGCCATGGGCGCGTCTGAGACCAGCACTGGTGAAGCTTCCCAGATGGAGCTCGTAGAGCACAAGCCTTTGGGTCGAAGAGTCAGTTCAATCGGGTTTAGGGTTTAGGGTTTAGGCCTTCTCCTCCCCAAAGAAAGTCTCAAACAAAGTAAATAAGCATGTACGTTGTACATCCTACGCACATCTGCGCCCACCGTACTCTTCCCAGACCACCGGGAGGATCTAACAAGTAGATCCCCTAATTTGGGACCCCAACTACTAAAGGGTACTTTATAGGAACCCCTTAGGGGATCTATTTTTTGGATCCTCCCGGTGGTCTGGGTAAACCCTAAACCCGAAACCCCAAACCCTAAACCCTAAACCCTAAACTAGGCTTCTTTGTGAAGGAGGCCGGGGCCCGGGCTCCCGGTCGCTGCACCGGGCGAACTGCTCCGGGGTCGGCGGGAGCTCCGTCTGGCAGCGCTCTCCGGTGCTTTGGGGGTTTAGAGTTTAGGGGTTTGGGTTTTGGATTTTAGGGTTTAGGGGTTAGGGTTTAGGATTTTAGGGTTTAGGGGTTAAGGTTTCGGGTTTAGGGTTTAGGGTTTAGGGTTTAGGGTTCAGGGTTCAGGGTTTTGGGTTTTGGGTTTAAGGTTTGGTGGGGTTTCGGGCTTGTAAGCCGCTTTCGGCTTTGTCAAGAGGGGATGCCGAGCTGGACCCGAAACCCCGGCCAGGCGTACCACAATGCTCCAGTAGGCAGGGCCCAGCGGCGCAAACGCCTCGAATGCGATTGAAAGCAACCAGACAGCTAACATATAAAAAAAAACCCTAAATAAACCGACAAAAAACATAACATAGTTGACAGACAGCTAACATAAAAAAACTAAAATAAACCGAAAAAAACATAGTTGTTCTTTTAATGGATGTCGGTCTCTGCTGAGGCCCGCGCAGTCCCCTCCATCTTCGGGCTGCTTTCGTCGAGAGTCCTCGGGGTTCGGGCGAAAGTGCCTTTAACCCAAACCCTAAACCCTAAACCTCGCGAACCAACCTAAACCCTAAACCCTAAACCCTAAACCCTAAGCCCTAAGCCCTAAATCCTAAACCCTAAACCCTAAACCTGCAAATGCGCAGAGTGCCCTTTCCCTCTGCGGCCCCGGGCCCATACCAGCCATCCCCATCCTCTCGTTGAAGGCCAAAGGCCTGAGGTGCAGAAGATAAGGGTTTAGGGTTTAGGGTTTAGGGGTACCTTATTTTGGGGTCCTTATAATAGGAATCCTATTATTTAGGGTACTAATTTTGGGGTCCTTATAATCCCAGAGACTCCAATGTCCCTTAATTAAGGAATATACCTTAAATCATATTAAGGATCCTACTATGATTTAAGGAATATTCCTTAATTAAGAGATCTTGGAGTCTCTGGGAAGGCTTAGAATTGAAACGAAAGCAGCAGAAACTGAGTTGCCAACATTCGGATCCACTCGCCAGTCTCTTCTGTGCCTTAAGGGGTGCTACAGCTGAGGACCAACTCCTTAAAAAGATGCCCACGTGGGCTGTCGGAGAAGCTGTGCGACGGACACCCTCAGCAAGATCTCAGTGTCGCCGTGGATGCAAAAGTTAATGGCATCCCCGATCCTCAGATGAAGCACACGCCACGATGTCCCTTGCGCAACCCAGAGACTCCAATATCCCTTAACTAAGGAATATACTCTAAATCATATTAAGGATCCTACTATCCTTTAAGGAATATTCCTTAATTAAGGAATATTGGAGTCTCTGGGAAGCATTCTATCCGACCATGTGCCGGACCATTGGCCAGGCGCAAGAGGATCCTGGGGGCTCTTCGTCATGCACTTTGATAGGGTTTAGGGTTTAGGGTTTAGGGTTTAGGGTTTAGGGTTTTCGTGATCTGACTAGGACGCAAGTAACTTCTCCGAGCCCTCTAGTTTTATGAGAGCCTTGCCTCAAACAGCAGAGCGCCTTGGGCCCTGGCTTCTGTTTCCTCTTCGTCCTCTGTAGTTTGGAGCACTGAAGCCTCTCGACAGCTTGTGAAATTGGATCCGGAACCACCTCTCTCCCTCACAAGCCGTGCCGTCCAGCATTCGAAAAGCTGTGATTCACTTCCCCATCGTTCCGCCTGAGGCATCTTCCGCAAGGTGAGCGGACCCCAAGATCCATCTGCAGCTGCAGCCTGCCGACCAAGTCATCGTGTGGAGAGTGGGAAGAGGGGCAAACAGCTGACACTGCTGACGATGGATGCCAGCTGCACCATGTCGAACCAGTGCTATAGCTGTGCTACAACTTGGAACATGTGCCTGTGCTCCGGTGATCGCGACGCGCGGAGCTACCAGGAGTCCTGAGCCCAAGGGAGTGCGCAACGGAGCCAGCATGAGGACTGGACCATACAGCGGACCGGTGGCTCATGTGCGCAAGGAAGGCGGCTAAGCAGCGAACGCAAGCGCACGCCGTGGCCGTCCGTGACATAGGGATTGTCCGTCGCCTCCAGCCAGATCAAATGCTTTCGTTTTGTTGGCCACTCTTGGTCCCCAATACTCCCACTAGCTAAAGGGCCGTCCCCCCTTCCCGACCCACATTCGTCGTCTTTTGCATTCTAAACCTGCTGATTGGGCTGATGCGGAGACTACACCTGCGCCTGCGACCGGGCCAAGGCGGACGCCGCAAAGCGCTACAATAAAGCCTCGAACAGGTCCCTATGCCCCCAGCGCCTGCACGAAAAACTCGGATGCAGCTAGTCCTGGGCAGCTAGGTCATTAAGTTTGGGCCGTTCACAGACCCTCCTGCCAGTGGCATGTGGAAGGAGCGTTTGCATCAAATATTCAGGGAATTTCAAGGACTGCAGAGGCAAATGACCCCTGCATGTTTCTTGTTGGTGTTGTGAAGCCCTTGACGATGGGATGGGTCAACTTTAGATCGCTGTCCTTCGGCTGTGCTGCTCAGTCGGTGTTGGATGCAGACTTCAATGGTTTTGAATGCGTACGAAGCAGCTCTCTGCATCTGTTGGCTCTCCCGGAGGTGTGGCGGCCTTGCAGTAGCGATTAAGTGCTGTTCAAGGCTTCACATCTGCGGGCTGCGTAGGTGCACAGTAGAGTGCCAACAGTGCCAAGCCTCGTCGGTCGTTGCT